ATAGAAATTGAAGACCAAAGAGAAATACCTGCCACCACAACATTATCTATGGATTCATCATTCTATTCATTCGATTCATGTGACCAAGCATTTCAGTTGACAGAAATAAATCAACTAACCGACCTGATACAGACCGCTGATGATGACATCTCAATGTTTGATCATGTGTCTTTGTCGACGAACCAACAGCCGGATTGGTTAGCATACCAGAATCTGGAGTCATGGCTTCTGGATGCTGAGCCATATTACACTCAGCATGAACAAGAGGTCAGCCTATTTGACTATGAGTTATCTGGGCTAATATGAAGTGCTTGTTCCATTACAAGTAGTACTGCTGCAACCAATTGCATAACACACCAAAAGCCTGACTTCATAAACCATTGCAGAAATGCAAAATAAATTATAAAACATGTATAAGTAATTAACCTTTCTTGTATAGAAAGTTCAAATGTTATTTATTCCTCAAACGTGCTTAATGCTACTTTTTGCGAATAATTAACCAAGCTAAACCTAAATTAAAAAATAAACTTTAATACGAATATATGCCATGAGTTTAATTTATTGTCAACTTGATTAATCCATTTTTAGTCCAACAGAAATATGGAACTTGGGCCATTCTTGGAAGTTGGAAGCCCCTTCGCGTGCACGTTTCTCGTCAACATTCTTTGGCATTTTCACAAAAAGTTTCCTTTTAAAATGTCACTAATCACTAGAGGAAGAAAATGAGAATATAAGCTTCACAATTGCTAGGTTTATCACGACTAGCTTTCACGATTCTTTGTTCATATTATACGTACGTCCAGATAAAATTCTTACTGTTTACCTCTATTTTAGATAGATATTATAGGTACTTTCAAATTGATAAAAAAATGGTTTCATTTAAGTAAATAATCTGAATACGAACATTATACAAGGGGAGTATGACTATAGATAAACATCCTTAAAATTGAATCCTATTCATGTCAACCCCACAAATCCCTAAGCCACTAAAAACCACTAAAATCCAAATTTAAGAATTATAAGTATTATAATTTCTTCTCAAATATTGCAGGATAGTTGTCTTAGAGGAAATTATATAGAAGAATTTAGAGAAATCATTTTAAGCATTCATTCTAAAATCAATTGATGATAAGTGGAGAAATCTAACTTAAATATAAAACTCCAAATAACACAGGACTTAACAAATATAAAATAACACCACTAAACAAATCCTGTGTTGACAAAAATAAAAAAGTTTGTCACGTAACAAACTTATAAAGATATCAGATAGAAACAACAAAATAACCCATAACTTTGGTACCATATTACAATTAAAGGAATTTCTATGTTCTCAACTATGTAAAAGTATATAAAAGGAATGTTCTATATATATAATTCTAACTAATTTAGAAAATAATTAATTAAAATAAATAAATCATAATTATATCATATTCATATCGTATTACACAATTATTATATTAACAAAATACATGTAGATAAAATTGCTAAATGGTTAATTCTCCTCACTATATAGCATTCAAAATAAAACTTTTTGCAACGATATTACAGATGGCCTAAATGATCTAATAAATCCTTATGCAGCATTAGTATCCAAAATAAAAGATTTTTAGTAGATAAGCCTAAATTGGCATAAGTAGCAAAAAAATTAAATTAAATGAGATAATAAATCTTTGGCCTGGACAAATGGTGAAAATGTCAGCTTGCCAAAGATATTTCTGGGTGTATGGGTGAAAGCTATGCCAAAAGAAATAACCAACAAATAAAGAATCTTAGAAACAAAAAAAAAAAGAAAAGAAAAAAACCGCAATAACAGCCTAGCCATCCTAGTATACTTTTCACCTCGACCTGTGCTCGCGAATCTCCACACACTTAAAGCCAGAATTATCTTTCCTGCAAAAATTGTTTCCATAAGAATACAGTTTAAAGAGCGAAGTGCGTAGACCAACTTTCTTCCCAAATTACATAACTTTTAAGTACTTTGCAAAGAGAGGGAAGTAAGAATTTTGTTCATGGTTATGCTTGAATCGGTTGATATTCGGCCATGGAAAACTGCCTAACAGCATAATAAAACACATGCTCTTTTTGTATATTTCCAGGAAAGGTGGTATACATTTGCTGATTTTGGTAAACTAGGATGAGAAAGCAGAAAAAGTCATTTTAATTATTGAAACAGCACATATATTACAAAGACACGGAAGACTCTGATTCTGAAACCGAGTTATTCAGTGAAAGCAATGGCCTTTTGTTATCTTGGCATTCCCTGCGCTTGTTTTGGAGCTGGGAGGCTGTACAAGGACTTCAATTGTCTGCTTATCAACTTGCTCTTATTTAGAGCAAGCTGGAGATCCAAGTCATCAGACCACCACTGCTCCAATCCATGAGCCTCAAGGAACTTTTGTTTCCCCTTCGACATCACAAACAGCTTTGCAGCAACTTGCCCATTTGTAGGACCAACATTCTCCTTGTCAGCATCTTTTTCTTCTGTTCCATCAGGGTCAGTGTAGTGGCAACAGATATAATCACTATTATTCAAATATAAGTGAGGCACCCATTTTTTCAATCCCACAGAAGTTTTCTGCCCATATATATGGGTTAACCAATTCTTTAGGCCTAAAGAGTTATCCTTGATCCCCTCATAGCCACTGGACTGAGGTTCACTACTTGAAGGAAGCATCAACTTAAGTCTCTTCCAAGCTAACCCTGCTTTTTCTCCAATATTTCTTAAGCTCATAGCCAGTGAAATAGAAGGTGGGTTAAACAAATGAGCATCCACATATATTCCTTCTTTAGCCAATGCTTTTCCCACTTGTAAAGCAAAGCCAGCTCCCAAGGAATGACCTGCAATACATACATTGCTGCCTCCATACCTTTCAGCGACTGATTTTAATGCCTCCAATGCTCCTTTAAATCTTACAGAACCCTTCAAGCTTTCCCAAGCTAGAAAGCGGAGGTCATCCTGAATATCCCTTCTGATAGTTGGACCTTTGAGTAATGTTCCTCGAAGTGCTAAAACAGCCTTTGGTGCTCCACAAGGTCTAATGAGCACAAAGTCAGCCAGGGCTGCTGACTGATCCCATTCTAATACTGCTCCAAATATAGATCCATCCCTTTCATCAATCAAAGTTTGGGCTAGCTTGTACTTGAAGGTCATCCACCACTTTGGAGCAAGAGCATTTTCCTCTGTTCTGTTCTCTTGTCTGTCCAATTCAAGCAGATAAACTGCTTGTATGAAGCACGCAATTACAGTTCTCTTATAGTTTGCATCTTTCCTGTATTTGTGAATCATTCTATTAGCATGCATGATTGGCAGAGTTACTCATCCCATTCTAAATCCCACGGCTTCATTCAAAGACAGACAGCTAGGATTATTTGTCGTGGATTTGGAACATAAAATTCCTAGACCTCTAGCCTAATAATCAACTAGGTCTCAAATTTCTAGTAACCCTGTTCCTAACTTTCAGATGTTAATAAAACATCGAAAACCCTGACACAAAATTTTCCATCAAAATCCGATGCAATGTTTTTGAGATCATTCTTCCCCAATCACTCAGATTACTACCTTCTAATGCAAGTACTAACAGACTTTCTCTGCTCATAAAACCTTACCATTGAAATCTTCTACTGTCAAACATGGTTCTACCACATAGGCTAAGATATTCATGGAATCATTAAAACTGAGGAACCTAAATGACAAAAACAGTGAGACAAGAACATAAATTTGGAGCAAAAAAAGGAAATTGGTATCTTAAATTAAACATTTAAACTTCATTTTATCAACCAAAATTGTATATATATATATATATATATATTAGCAGAAAATAATTTAATAAATCCAAAAAAGAAGCCATGCTTGCAAATTAAGGAAAAGGTTGAAATTAGGAAACATTTACTTACCAACTAGAATTGATGAGGTCTCTCCAGTTAGGTTTAGCCACATTGCGAGGTCCAGACACGTGAAATGCATATGGATGTGCTTCTACTTTTTCTTTTTCTTCTTCTTCTTCCACCACCACCATTGCTCCTTCCTCCTGCTCCTCCTCCTTTGTTATCTCCTCTGCTCGACTCTTTGCCATCCCTAACAACAATCCAATTCAATACAAATTAATCTACGTCTTCTTCTTTTCTCCCTCTTCTTATTAATCAGTTTAATTTCTTTGTTTGCAATTGCATGCCTGGGAACAAGAAAGAGAAAGCTTTGACAACAGGGTTTTCCTTTTTAAAAAATGTATATTTAAAAGTAATTTGAAACGCCTGGATTCGTAGAGCTATCTATAACGGTCATATTTCTTTCATGGTGTCGGTTTCGAAATGAAATGACCGTACTGACCTTCTATCGTCGACGAAAAGGTGACCCATTGACCTTATTGTTTTTACCGAATGGGACATGCAAATATGTTGTCTTTGAATGTTTAGAAGCACTGAGGTCATTTTAGACTTTTTGGAAAAATATTTTTTGGATACTGGACTACAGTTGGATAATATTAGGGAATTAATTAAAGCGTTAACAGAGGTTCATAAGTAGATATAGTAAATTGGATAACCAAACTGATCAAGAACTGGTCTAAACACTCAGTTGAACTTGATTTAGATCAGATCGGTTTATATATTGAATCAATTTTGAATTATTTTATTATAAAAAAATCAATTTATATCAATATAAAATTAAAAAATTATATTTTTTTTAGTTAATGATTTCAATAGATGAAAAAATGAAAGAACATTATTATTTTTTTTATTGTAACTATAATTATCAGGACTCTCGAAAGGATCTGAATGCAATGTCAAATGGGATTCGAACATGTGCTGGCGTTGGGCCGCATAGAATAGCCACCACGCATGACTTGATGGCCTCTCATATAACAAGCGGGGAAGCTCATTTCCGCAACAGATTATTGAAAACACTGGCAACTGAAACAATAGATAGGCTAGCAAACTAAAATGAAAGCTGCTTCAAAGCTCTCGTCAGTATTTCTCCACAAAACCATCAAATAAATTTGGTCATGGCTTTATATTTCATTGCTGCTTCTCTTAACCCAAAACCCTGCTCTAATATTCCTCCTCCATTGCTTTGCCCAAAGCACAACCACCCTTTCAAGCTCATCTCTTCTTCTTCTTGTAAAACATTTGTTCAGTCACAAGGAAAAGAAGGGGGAGTCAAAGAGGATGACCCTCCTGCTTCTTTCACTGGTGCATTACCTCTTTCATTTCATTAGCTTAGTTCATAAGTTCGTTTTAACTGCAAAGAACATTATATATTCCTTTGTGGGGTTTGATTTTACATTTGTACTTGAGAAGGATTATGTATGCTTATGAGAATGTTAGCATATAAAAATTTGTCTCTACCTTTTGGTTTAATCGAATTTACTTATTATGCGATTGAGAAACCGTGATTTATTATGTTGGGTTAACGTTGATTTGATTTCTTGAAGTTCAAGATTTTAAAATTTAGAACTCCACCCAACTTGGTTCTCTCTTGCCTACGAATATGAAGGTTCCTTCCATATTTTTCCCTAACTGTAAAAATATACACCCTTTTCTCCCGTATCAAAGCGGCCTTGGTGTGCTGATTTTATTTAATAATTGCATGTTATGGATTCTATTAGTTCCCAGACAGAGGAATCACTACAGTAGATGTTTCTTTTGTAGCTGAGTAAGATCTTTTGTAAGGATCTTTGTCAGTTGCTTCTTGTTTTTGTGTGAAGTTGGGGAATTTTCTCATAATTGAGATTCCTGTTTTATGAACATAGGTTTCTATATTGTGGTAAAGAACTCCTCAATTGATGAATAGGTTTCTTGTTTTGTGGTTGAATTCCTGAATAGAAAATACACGACTATAAAGGTAGCACCATGAACATGAAAAACTTTCTGTTGCTCTCCGTACCTCACACTTGCAGGCTATGTGTCGTGGCACCAGCTCAAAGACAAGAAAGCCTTTTTCTTGTTCAACGTAGAACATTGAATCTAGTGTATTTTGCTTCCTTTGAAATGATCATAAGCTACACTGAATTTCTTATCAGAGTGTTTAATTACATGAGTTATTGGTGAAATTTTTAGGCAACTATTGAGATTCAATAATCATTTAGACTGCTGATTTCCTATATACTCTTGACATTTTTGTTAAGGGTTTTTGTCTTCTACACGCACGCAACTGGATCTTTTGGAACAACTAAGTTAGACTAGCTCTGCTGTCGACGGCATGTGAATCTTATCCCCAGATAAATGCCAATGGTTATACATTTCTTTCTCAGAAAAAGGACTAGACGGAAGAACAATAAAATTTTCAAAATTAAGTGAATGTTTATTTCTTTTAGGACCAGGGTATGAGAGTGATGGCAGCTTTAGGAAACTCACTATTCGTAAGAAGCTTGTGCGGTTGGTTGGGGATAGAGACGATGATTTCATTTTTCCATTGGGTAAAAATTTGAAGAAGGTTAGTCCAAAGTTTTTAACCATCTCACAGAAGAGAAATATCAGAAGACTAACATACTTGGATGAAGTTTCTCGGAGGAATGATTCAGTTTTCTTTGCAACAGTTGGAGCATTTATAATTGTTCCACCATTTATAATATTAGGGATTGCTATATTAACAGGTTATGTGCTGCCCTTTCCATGATATACAAATTCTCAAAGTAAATAGAAATATGTGGGTTACATCAATCTGAATATAGTGCTGCTAGTTACTTGGTGCCTTTTCTTTTCTTTTTTATCCAATCAATCTTTTAGTTATCCTGCAAATTTTTAATTTGCTATGCAAGTTCATTAACTTGATGACCGTAATTAATTTTCCGCGTGGTTGTTTTCAATCAATCCTGGCGTAAGAAGGATAATTTACTATGAAAGGTGAAACTGCAGGCATATCATGATATCTAACACCAACAATTTCATTCTGGTTGGATAAATGTAATGCCGTTTTGTTTAATCAGGGACTAAATCTGCTGATGTTAAATATGCTTTATTTTCATCATACACTTCTTTCTTTAATTCAGCCGATTGCATGCCTATGTTGCCTCCATTTACCATATTTTAAAGCCCCGTTGGCAAAATATATCTCCTTATTTGATGGATAAAACTTGTACATATTTTGAACCCGAAACTTAACACAGTTGATTCATGCATTTGTCTTAAAATCCAGCAAGTTTTGGGTTCAAATTTATATTTGCAATCCTTTTTCTTGTTATGGACTACCCCTCTTTTGTACAAAAAAAACTTGTACATATTTTCAGAACTTTTTTTTTTTTGAATTCTTTCTCCATTGTCCTTTTTTTCCAGCTAATTACCTGTTGGAAATTTATAGTACGAACCAATTGCTCTCATTAATTACTTTTCTAACTGCATTAGTTGTCGGTCAATGAATATGATGCTAAATGCTGTGCCTGTTGTTGGAATTTTCCGTAACTTGACGGTTTTATAATTGTCTCTCAAGTTTAGAGCCCTAGAGCTGATGTTCTGTATTCTTCTGCTCAAGTTGCTAACAGTTTCTTATTGTTTGGAAAATTCAAATCCTTGCCTTTTCTTGCCTTTCACCAGTTCCAGGCCATTGCCTTTAGTAATGTCTGTGTTCAGGGTAAAAAAGATACTTTTTTAATCTTTTTATCATTAAGAGTTGAGTAATGTCTCTAAAATTCAGAGTTTCTCTCCCTGGCCTTTCATGGAATCTCAATGCTACATATTCCTAAATTTATTTATTTTTTTTTATATTTGAGATTGTTAAAATTTAAACTTTGATAACTGGAATAAAGAGTTCAGAATCTAAACAACAGTCCAATTTGACCAAATGTCCCATGAAACTCTAGTCCCTTGTACAACCAATCGAACCTCCTTACCGATGATGGCTATAGGACTTCATCATGGTCAGATCACATTGAAAATCTAGCTTAACTTTGCCTAGTGTTAATTTCCTGTTATAGATTTATAAAAAAAAAGTTGGAAACAGGAAAAAGAGGGAGCTAGTGGGAAGCAAAAAGAATGAGAAAGAATGAACAGCAGCACACCCTCAATTCAGCCAACCAATTAGAAGATTCTGTATACAAAGTTTATTGCGGTCTAATGACCAATCCTTCTAGAGAAGAAAATCCAAAAAACAAAAGAAAAGAGAGAAGGATGAAAAGAATTACTCAATTTTTACTAAGGATTAATGTTAAAAATGATTCTAGAATTTAGTATCATATTTAATATGATATTTGAACTTTAAAAATGTCTAATGTAATATATTAACTCTGAATCTATTAATTAACGTAATATTAAAAAAATTATTTTTTCATAACGTGTCAACATTTGAAGTTAATCACGTTATGAGTGAGTATCACGTTAATTAATAGATTCATAATATCACATTAGAGATTTTTAAAGTTCAGATATCATGTTGAATATTTCACTATAATTCATAGATCATTTTTAATATTAACCCTAATTTAGTCACTGATAGCATGTTTTTCAACAATTCTCACTAGTTTCATTTTGCGTCTCTGTGTGTGAAATATCTTGTTCTGTAGGTCTGACTGGTTCATGTCCCAAAATCACTCCTTGCTTTTGTATATACAACCATTTGTCTTGAAACAGGTAAATGAAAACAATCAAAGAGATCTCAGCAGTCAAAACTATGGTCCAAAGCTTTATGCTTCTTGATGTCTTTTCATGAAATGCTTCCAATCCAGTGTAAATGCTGATTACACTTAAAACAGACACTGCAGTTCCTAGTAACCAGTGTGCAAAAAACCATGCACTTCTTCCCTTGGATCCCCTATAGAGAAAGTCTTATGCTTAATATATGCTCAACATATGCTAAAATTTGAGGAAATGGCATTCATAGCATTACAATTAATCCAAGGATGAAACGGGAAAAACAAGAGACGAAGATAAAAAATGTCGAAAAAAGCCAAGAAACTGAACCAGTATTTCTCAGATGAGTTACATTCTAGGTGTTTGGAAATGACTAGATTCATTGGAACCAGTGGAAAATGTTTGATTGTGCACCGGTGTGCTAGTGCAGAATGCATGGGCATGTATGCTGTAGTTGTCAAATTAAGAGAATGAGTGAGGGAGATAGATGATGGTTTACCTCCATGGATGTAAAACCCCGGTCAAGGCTTGCAACCATATGATACCATATAAAGCCACCCCTAGCCTTTGATGATGATTGTTGAAGGAGTTATTGAAGTTTTTTACAGACATTACTGCTCCTGCTGTTGCAAGTAGTACAGAAAGTATCTGCTGAACAAAATTAACTGTTCAATAGATGAAAGATACTTTAACAATCATGTACCATAGTAAATATCGGAACTAATTACTATCCTGATAGAACCATTAGTTTAATGTGCCTTCACGTCCCACACAACAATATTTACAACAGCATCAGATTGAAGATCTATGGATTGCTAATCGACTTTTATTCATAAAATCATTGTCCTTTTCTTGCCTCTCAAGCATTCATGATAATCTCCTTTGATCAAGTTAAAGGCAAATAAAATTTGCTTGGAGTTAGTTATTAAGAACCTGTGGGCTATATATATGTAAAATATTGCCAAACCGGGAAAATTTTTTTTTTTTTGTACAAAGGAGGTGGCATTTTAGGAATAAGGATGTAGGTATGGGATTTGAATCCTAGATCTGTTAGATACAACCTCTTAAAAGTGCCAACCTAAATTCTCGATCCGAAAACATCCTAGTTTCTCATTCATTATCATTAAGAAAGCTAACGTTAGGTGTCAACCTTCGTTAAAAAAAACTTTGAAGCTATCATTTTCCAACTCTATAGAGATACCATTAATTATTCAAGTGAAAGAAGCAGAAATTATAACCTATGTAGAAAGGCTCTTATAGTTAATCCGGATATATTGGTGGGAAAGACGAATTGATATAACGGTAACAGTAAAGATGAACTTGCCTGTGAAACTGCATGAACATAGAAAAGAATTTTAATTCTTCTTCCACGTTCTTCTTTATTTGACATTCTGATAGCAAGTATCCCAACGGGCATCAGAAACCCCATTGATACCCAAAAGAGGAATCCATGTAGTGTAATCTCAAACATCAGTTTGTGACTCACCTAAAAAAAAACAAAAACCAGAAAATGAAATTGAATTATATTCTCAAGCTTCACAATTTTTTATTAAAAAAAAAAAGATGTAATCTTAAAACAATGTATTAAACTGCATCAATTGTAAGCAGCTAAGTTAAAGACATGAATCCAGTACCTTGTGAATGTTGTCTTTATCGTTTGTATGGCTGCCAACGGATTTCACATGTTCTTGAGATGAGATGGCAAATGGTAGCACAAGTATGATAAGACCTACACACATGGTGAAAGAAACCAGTTTCCCGGCCAGAGATTGCATTGTTCTTCTAATAGTGAAAGATAAAGAAAACACAACCGGAACTGAAAAACTGGGAAATCCTCTTTGATGCTCTTGAAGCTCTGAATTTGAAGTTGGTGAGTGGACTATAACTTATAAGGTGTAGTGGTAGTAGCAGTAGTAGTAGTAGTAGTGCAGTACCATAGCAATGACAGTGTAGAACTATGGTGAAAAGTGTTGTCAATGTTGTTATAATAAGATGACAGGCTCAGCTGCAGCAGTTCCTGCAGGAACCGGCATACTCAATAATGTGGACTCCCTCACTCCTTTCTTTTCCACATACATAAGCACCCACATACATAAGCACCCACTTTAATGAATGTCTTCTTTGAAATGAATAAGAGATTATGTATTCTTTTTCGGAATAAATTTCATAAAGCTGATGTTTAGCTTTCACAATATTCCTTTTTAGTTTAAAACATACCAGAGTCGGATGTTTGAAATACAATTCGTTTGTGTGTACTGCATGCAGGTGGATGGTTTGGGGCATGAGTTTGGTCCATGCCAAAAAGATAGTGGGGAATGGAAATAGATTGCAACTTCAACCATGTGGGGTTCAGTTCTAGACTAGCTTTTTGGCCTGTTGCAGAAGGTGGAATTTCAGGGCACAAAGGGAGGTCAGATTTCAACAGTGGGACAGAAGAAATTCAAAAGAGAGTATAAAGTAGACATTAGCGGACTACTCTATCAAATGTTATAAAAATGTAACCCACGTGATGATGATGATATAATTAATGAAAATAAATATTTAATTATCTGATTATTATTATCTAAAAAATTATATTCAAGTCAAATTACTTTAATGATGGTGGAGATAAACTTTTAATTTAATTTCAACTTGATATAACAACCATTTTGTCAATTCTCTTAGAAAAATTTCATTATCATTATTACAAATTCGATCAACTTGTTAGAAGATTACAATATTTACATCATGAAATAAGGAAAACTGGTTTTGTTTTCATGAATGCTTTACAAAGTCCAAAGGCAAAAAATAAAGAATGGATCATAAAAAAAATATAACGAAACAAGTGGACCAAGACAAGACAACTTCGCTTATACAACTTTTTATACAACTTTTTGGTTGTGGGAAATCTTTGACGTAATTAACTGTGCAAAGGGAGCAGCTCTTCATTTTTTTTTTTCACATTTTTTCAAATTTTTTTAAATAAAATTATTAGTTACCTTTTTCTTCATTCTTCTTTCACTTTCAAAAATTTCCTGATTTATATATCTAAAAATTTTAAAATTTTATAAGATATTTTTTAATCATAAATATAATTTTTTATTTATCAAATATAAAAATAGAATAAATTATATACCTTATCTTATATATATATATATATTCGATAAATTATATAATTTATCGAAAATATATATTTTAAAATTTTAAAATTGAGATGAGAAAGATGATTAAATAATTTTATTTGAAAAATTGAAAAAATTAAATGTGAAGAAAAAAATTGGTGTATTTAGAATCTTCCTGTGCAAAATCTGCCTCTGAATTATGGAGCTTGTGGTCTTGTTCATCTCAGTAACTGCTGCACTCAATTCCTTCACCCCCCATCATAATTGCTTGGACCTATATTGTTGGTCATCTGCTTAAACGATAAGAGTCTCACTGCTGATTTAATCTTTCCAGTCGGCAGATAAAATTGAAAATGGTGTTGGAGACGAGATTAATAATTATTGTTAGGTGAAATTAAAATCAGTGATAAAATATATATTTAAATGTAAAAATAATAGTAATAGTGAGGTGAATTATAATAAAAAAAATTATCATAGATATTATATTAAAAACTATATATAAGAAAATTTTAAATTATTTAATATTTCTAAAATTTGTTAATAAATAATTAAATTTATTCAAAATATTTATTAATGTATGAAATAATAAAAAAATTTTTGCTAAGTCTATTCTATTATATTATATAAATAAGCTTATTTTACAATTTAAAAAAAATAAAAAAAAAACTACAAGGACATTTTTTATATTATAGTAAAACTTAAAAGATTAAAAAAAAAATTTTCACTGCCCGATTATCAACCGGATAAAAATGACTAGTTGATGACGAACCATTTTCAGATTGCACCTCTATTTCATTTGGAATCAAAAGTGACAAATGGCTTAGATTTTGATTACATCTGCACTGCAACTGGAGATTGAGTGTAATGGTGCCTTAGCTTATACAATTTTTCTGGTTGTGGGAAATCTTAGATGTTACTGTGCAAAATCGAAATCTTCATATGGATTGCGGAGATTTTGGTCTTGTTCATTTCAGCAACAACTGCACTCAATTCCTTCAGGCCCCCTCATAATTACTTGGACCTCTATTGTTGGTTATCTACTTATAAGAAAAAAGGTCTCATTGCTGTTTTAATCTTCCCAGTGGGCAGATAGGATTGAAGATTCTCACATTTATAGATTAATTTGTAATTTTTTTTTAATAAAAAGGGATAATTTTTGTTTCAACCATTGCCAGTTTCTTCTCTTGCAATTAAGGTCTTCCTTTTTTTTTTTTTCAAATAGAAATTGTGATACCAATTATAAAACACACATTCTGATGTGGTGAGAGCCATCTAATTCGGCTCCTAAATGAACTATGAGTCAGCCAATAACAAATAAAAAAAATGGCCTCTCATTTTTCTACAGTTTAATTACACTACTTGCCCATATACATTGTTATTTCATCAATTTTCCCCTCCTTTCAAGTTTCATGGTTTCATTCCATTTTAAACCTTTTATAGGGAGCATCTATGACTCAAGCCTAGGATCCCTATCTCAATTCCAAAATATCCTTACTTTAAGCAATAATTGATAAAATAAATAAAAGTCTTTTATTAAATCAATTTTTGTGGAATTTTCTATCACAATGAATATAAAAGCCAAAATTAAAAAATCAAATCCATAAATTAAAAAACTTTGCTAGATATATAAATAAAGTATAGAAAATTTTAAACAATTTGAACGTGTTTTGATACTTCTTAAATATGCATTTTTATTGAAAGTTCTTATTAAATTTTCATCTTTCAATAAACATCAATCGAATTTTGTGTGTGATGTTATTTTTAATTAATTTTTTTTACATAGTATTAATATTTTTATTAATTTTTCGGTTTTAATTTTTTAATTTAATTCTTATTCAATCTATTTTTAGCTATAAACTTTACAAATTTAACCTAAAAAACCTTATCTAAATTCTCTTCAAAATATTAATGATATGGAACTATTAAGTTCATGATGAAAGAGAAGAATTATTATTAACTTATTATTAATTTTGTTTCGGTTGATTAATCATAGTAACAATGACTTTCAGTGCGATTATTAGTAATTGAAATTGATTATTAGTAGTTGCATGGCTTGATTGACGGGAGAATCATTTCAAACTCATTTGGATTAACATTCTATTCTACTAATGTGTCTAATTAGTTTGCACTGACATATGATCCAATTATGACTATTTTTCTAACATTTGTTGGCATCTCACATGTGACTCAACAGCATTGTCTGTCCAACCCATAGTCATGAACTTGAAAGAAAATCATAATGCATTTGAACTTAATTAAAAATTATATATATATATATATCAAAATGATTTCTTAAATTTTTTTCCCTTTGACAAATTGTGTTTGAAGCATAATCAAGTGCATATGTGGTTTGGGGTTTTTCATTTGATTGGAACTTTCTAACTGCTTCCATTTTTATAACAAGGAATTTCTTGATTTGATCCATGAAACATCATAATTTATAAGTAATTAAAGCAAATTAGTACTATGCCGACAATTAAGTTAGATAGACTGTCTTTCAATAGTGAGTAGGATTAAATCCTTCTGGGCAGATTCTTTTTTTTTTTTAATTTTAAACTTCAATTTTAATTTGAAATTATAAAAATGACTTTAAATTTGATTTTCTATTAAGTTAAAAAAAATTCATAACTATAATTTGACAGATTTGAAATCTGAAATATTATTTGAATTTAAAATAATCTGAACTTAAAAAAATTTGAAATTGCATGTTTTGAATTGACCCTGACCCATTGCTACCTTAATGAAACTCTTTTTCATTCTTTTGCTTCTTTCACTATATACATAATAATTTCATCAAAATTCAAAATTTATTTGAAAAGTAAAAAGGAGATTATAAGAATGAATTGGTGGGAGTTGGACTCTCCACGCCTTTGCCAAAATCTAACCAAAGTGGGCTGTTCTTGAGATGTGGCTTTTGAGACAGAGAAGCGAAACCCAAGAGTTTAGCATCCATCCATGTCCTATTCTCTTCTGGAAAGAACAAGAAATGGGCTCTAAAGCACCGAAGGGAAAGCTCACGATCCGAAGTTGCACGTGGACGTGTAATTTTAAATATGAGAATATGTTATAAAAATGATAATAAAAATAAAAATAATATGATTTAAAATAATGATATGATATTATGGATTTAGCCTTTTCAGATTTGAATTATCAATTTGTGCTTAGTAAGAGGCCATTTGGATTCAATTGCAACTTCAGGGGTGTGATTGAGATCCCAAACTGGACTCAGATCATATTTAACGCACCAATATAACGCTACGGGGTATTTTGCAACTTCACGACAACCCCGTTTTCCCACGGGTTATCAGTTATCACCCCTTTGGTGGAAATTCTCTTTCCCACCGCAACTCTTCTTTTACGTATCATCCCAGCTCTTTCATTTTTTCTTTCTTTTTTCACCTTGAAATTATGATGCATGGACAATTATATCCCTACATTTATATATTGGTTTAGCATTTTATTATTTGTTTAGTTTTCCTATTTCGTTATTTTTTTTCTTTATTTTTAATTAAAATTTATCCAGATTAATTTATTATAATTATTTAACATATTTTTTATATACTTATTTAACAAATTAATTAATGAATAAATAGTTGAAAATAATAAAAGCATAAATAAATAATCAATTTTATAGTTAAATAAATCATTATTGAATGAAAAATAGATAACTAGATAAATAATAAAGTAAATAAATATTAGTTGTTTTTATTTTAAGATGTATAAATATATTAATATTTTTTATAAAATATTATTTTGTTAAATTTAATTTTTAACAAAATTATGATTCGACAAAAAATAATTTTATTAACTTTTAATTATTTTTTAAATTTATAAATATCAAGTATAATATAAAATTTATTATATATATTTTTAATCTAATGTCCTTAATAATTAGTTTCTAGTTTTACTATAATTAATCTCAAT